ACTAATATCGATATATTTTTGTCAAATTTTTATGATATCTTCAAACATATATTTTATTCAAAAATAAAAACATCATCGCTTTCTCAAAATCACGTAAAGTCATATTATAACATCGACTGAGATAAAGAATAAAATGAAATATTAAAAACACGATGTATCTCGCTGCATTGCGCGAGTACTCTTCTAGTATATTATATATATATATATATATATATATATTTTTTTATATTTAAAAAAATAAAATGACAACATTACCCCTGATTTAATAGAACAATGGTTAGTGAAGTTAGCACAAGGAACCCAATCCTTAACAAGAGTGAAACCATGATGACCATACATGTTATTATTTCATTTAAAGGATCCAATCCAAAATCTTTAATACCGCACGAACAAAATTTGTAATTTACTCTATAAAAAAATCTATTGGAGCAAAATATAGAACAAAAACCTTATTATCTCTAAATACTTACCCGGTAATTTTTCTCACTGGATGAATATGACAAGAGCCAACAATCTTACCCGGTAAGAGCGATGATAAAGATGGAGAGTTTTACTCGGTAAGTGAGGTGACGACTCTTACCCGAGTAAACGCTTACCTAGTAAATTGTCGTATATGATACGTTTTGATGTACTACAATCTTATCCAATAAAATAAATTATAATATTAAACGCTTATCGGATAAACATTTAGGTAAACGACCCGCACCTTAGACGAGTGTTCACCCTTACCCCAAAACCTAATCCGTACTCGGCCTCGTTCCTTCTCAAACACAACACTCGCCTCTCGACTCATTCATCAATCTCGTCTCCTTCATCTCTCCTCCTCTACCTCAAGATCGATCTCTCCTCCACTCTTTCCATCCCCTCAGGTAATCGATCTCTTCTTTACACTCTCGACTCCTTCATCTCGACTTTTCTACCTCAAGATCGATCTCTGCAATTCCACATTGTTTACGTGAAATTTGATTTTCTTTGTTTGTCATGAAATCTGATTTTCTTGTTTGTCATGAAATCTGATTTTTACATTGTTTATCGATCTCTGCAGTTCCAAAAGTAGGTCTTACCCCCTTTTCATTGTTTGTCATGAAATCTGATTTTCTTGCTTTTTCTGAGTTTATGTGGTGTTGATTTTGCACAGTGATGTGTTTATTTTTCCTTGTTACAAAAGGTCTAATGAAAACATTATTCGATGATGTTGTATAGTGGTGGCTTTGAGTTGTGCTGTTCATGTGAAACACTATATCTAAATACAAGGAATTATTTTTCCTCGTGGTCGCTGTTTTTCTAATTGAAGGTAACGACATACACACGAACTACTTTTTGCAGCAAGATCTAGATTTTCCTCGCTTTATTGATGTGATATCAAAATACGTTTCTGTTGATTTGATTGTATTCGACTCTATCCATGGTTGTATGTATTTTATATCTTAGGTTTCAATCATAGATTTGTTGTGTATATCACTTTTTCTATTCCGTTTTGTCTATATGTGAATCGATGTTCTTGATTTAGTTTAACGATTGATAAGACTCTTGTTACATTTTTTGAGCTCAAAGGTTATTTGTATGCTTGCATTCAAGGCCTTATTGTTATATCAGAACCGAAAGGATCTAGTTTTACAAAGCACTACCTCAAGATCAGCACCGGCCCACCCTCAACTTTTTGTAAAAAACTTTTTGTCAAGGCCCTCACCTGGCTCTAAGACGCTCACAGGAGTCGATCACTCAATCCCCTGCGATTTTTGCGATTGTTTGTCTGATTGTGTGTGCAAAGGCGTCGTCCTCCAGACTCCAAAACCTAACCTCTGTAGGGTGTAAATTGTAGAATCAGACTTTAGAAATCCTCGCCTTTGGTAACTCAATTTTCACGGTTCAATCAATTTTAATTATAGGGTTCATCTCTCTCTCTCTCTCTCTCCCTCTTCCTCTCAATTATGTTGATTATTGAAATCCTCACCTCCTAGTAATTAATATTGATTATTGTATAGTTCTGTTATGTTGAAATTTCCAAATTGTTGGATATTTGTTTGAAAGTTATAAGCTTATCATATTGACTATTGAACTTGTTGTGTGTATAATATTTGTTTGAAAGTGTTCATCACTCTCTCTTATGTTGATTATTGAAATTGTTAAGTTGATTCATTGGAGCCAACTAATGATGATAAGAGTCAACAAAGTCAAGATTTTTGTTTTATTTGAGAGGACCACCCTAAGAAATAATCATGACTTCGCCACAGTTAAGTTTCTACTCCAGAATAAAACTGAAAAAAGCAACAATTTCTTTGTTGCGATGGCCCAAGGTAAATACAATGCTTTTTTTTTTCTTTTCATTACAAAGTATTAATACTTATTAAAGTGGGATGAAGGTGAGTTACATAGAGGAATAGGTCTTGTGTTAATTAAGTTCCCATTTTGTTATTTGAGCATTGAGCTCTCTTCTTTTTTAATACATGAAAGGACTTGTATGGCTTACTTAGAGCATCTCCATTGTGGTGATTTCACAAGACCATCTCCAAATGGGACACCAAATACCAAATTTGTCACCAAATACCAAATTTGTCACCAAATCACTCCAATAGGGACGTCAAATCTTACACCCATATTGGTCTAATGAATAGTAACATACTCAATTTGGTATAACACTATTCATTTACACCAACGGGAAAAATAAAAAGGAATGTATCTAAATCTTAAATTTTGGTGTTACTCGTTGGAGTAGATTTATGTTTGTATCAAATTTTGCACCAATTTCTGTGTATTTGGTCTGAGATTTGGTGTTACCCATGGGAGATGCCCTAAGAACCTCATTTTTGTACCTCTTCTTGCCGCATCCTTGCCAACTCAACAAATTAAGAACCTGCATAAAAATTCACTATGGTAATGACACACAAGAACCCCACTTTTTGGTAAAACTAATGTGGATATATAAGTAAAAAACTAATAAAATAACGTTTGACACAATAGTCAAGACAAGAACCAAGGTTCTTCTACAAGATTAAAAAAAAGGTTGGTGAGTTATAAGAATCCTTACCTCCACTATGGTGGTGGCTCATAAGAAGTCCGCTTTTTGCTTATAAGCACCTCCCATTGTGGATGTTCTTATTATTGACTTTTAATCTAATGTGTTGAACATCTTCCTTTTGTTTTTCTGTACGCCGTAAGATATATGTATCTCTTTTTTTGTATTCTTGGTAATAATTCGCCATTTACAACAATAAGGTAACTTTACTTGTAAGTATTGCTGGCTATAAATAAGAGTTGGTGTTCAAAAAATATCATGACTTGCAAATGCCTTTCTTGATCTAGAGATGTCAATAGCTAACAAAAAGGATAATACTCTTTTGAACAATTAAACTTGAATGATTACACCTTCATCTATGTCTTGATTTGTATCCTTCATGTAGAAACTCGGTATGATTTTCAGCCCATTAACAGAATTCAGTAAACACAAAGCAAAGCGGAAAGCATTAAAATGGCTTTTGCAACTTCCATAACTTCATGGCCCCATCTTCATATCCCAAAGAGTTTTTCAGTAACTCAACAAAAGATCAGATGCTCATCAACTACATCATCAATCTCTACCACCTTTGACCTTAAAACTTACTGGTCAACTCTGAGAGAAGAAATCAACCAGAAGCTTGATGAAGCTATACCTGTTCAGTACCCACACCAGATTTATGAGTCTATGCGTTATTCTGTTCTTGCAAAAGGAGCAAAAAGAGCACCTCCTGTTATGTGTGTTACGGCCTGTGAGCTCCTTGGTGGCAATCGCCTTGCTGCCTTTCCCACTGCATGTGCCCTTGAAATGGTATGCCCCCTTCATGTTCTTCTGTTTTTAATTTTACAAATCTTTCACTTCCTTTCAATTGGCTAGGGCTATGTTTGGCAACTAGATAAGCTAGTTGTTAGTTGATAAACTAGTCACGATTGATGAAAAGTTAAAAACCAGCTGATAAGCTAGATGTCGGTGTAAGAAATTACCTAAAAGAATAAGGTTATTGATGATCTATGTAAATGTTATGGGTATAATTGGAAACAAGTGGAATATTAAACTCTTGGAGCCTATTGAAACACTACTTGAAGTAGCTTTTCAGAAAGCTAGCTTATGACTTGCCAAATGGGGCTTTCTCAATAAGCTCAAAAGATAAGCAAGCTTATGGTTGCCAAACATGGCCTAGGATTAGTGGATTTGTTTTATAACTGTAGTCTGAATCTAGTTTCCAGTTTTGTCGTAGTGGATTTGTATATAATCCTCATGATATATACCCTGAATTATCTAGGATTTCATTCTAATTAATGTGTAGATGATCTCTTAAGTTGGAATGTTGTCTTTTATAGGTACATGCTGCCTCTTTAATCCATGACGACTTGCCATGTATGGACGATGACCCATCCCGACGTGGTAAACCCTCCAACCACAGAGTCTTCGGGATGGACATGGCCATCCTTGCTGGCGATGCTTTATTCCCATTAGGATTTCGCCACATCGTCTCCCACACCCCAACCAATCTTGTCCCAGAAACCCAACTCCTTCGTGTCATCACAGAAATCGCACGAGCTGTTGGTTCGACCGGCATGGCTGCCGGGCAGTTTGTGGATCTGGAGGGCCCATCAAATGCGGTAGAATTCGTGCAGGAAAAAAAGTACGGTGAGATGGGTGAATGCTCTGCTGTTTGTGGAGGACTACTGGCTGGTGCTAGTGATGATGAGATCCTACGGCTTAGAAGGTACGGGAGAGCGGTGGGGATCTTGTATCAAGTGGTGAACGACATCTTGGAAGCGCAATCGAAATCAGAAGAAGAAGAAGAAGAAAAGAAGAAGGGGAAGAGTTATGTGGGTGTGTATGGTGTTGAGAAGGCTGTGAAAATGGCAGAGGATCTAAGAGGTGAGGCCAAGAGAGAGTTGGAAGGTTTTGAAAAGTATGGTGAGAAGGTGTTGCCATTATACAGCTTTGTGGATTATGCTGCTGATAGAAGTTTTAGTTTTGTTGATAACATTTGATTCTTTCTTATAATAATCACACTCTTGTAAGTTGTAACCTAACCTAACCTAACCTAACTTGCATCTATCATCACAATTCAATCTCCACTTGTATCTATTCATCTTCTTTTGCCAGATCTGAATCAATGGATACATGAGGGATTTAGGGGATGTTTGGCAATTGTTGAATGGTTTGGTGCAGAATTATTAAGAGGCTCTCATGACATAGTGCAAAATAAATTATGATTGTTTGGTAATCGTGTACAATGAAATTAATGTTCTTAATGGTTAAGGGAGATTCAGGATACAAAATTATTCAGAGGGCTTTAGAACCATTAAGAGGCAGACTTTTTTTTGCCAAACAAGATTCACCTCTTAACGATTCAGAGATTGTCCCACGTTTTTGACAATTCAAGGATCAATTCTGATATCATTTTGTAATGTTGCAAGTTGTGATGGGCTAACCACTCGGGTTGTGGTGCAATATATACATATACATGTATATATATATATATATATATATATATATATTATTTTATTTCTGATTTATAAGAGATGGTGCTGACATCTAAAATCTGAATCAATAACATTGTTTGTTTTTGTAAAATGATAAACGTCTGAATTTGTTTAAATTGTTTATTTTACCCATTAAAAAAATTATATTGTTGAATTTATAAATAAAATTTATAGAATTTCACATATTTATTCATCATCATTACGAATTTTACATAAATTATGTAATTAGCCTTCATTTAAACGAAAATATGTCATTAACGTATTTAACACATTTAAATCATATTAAAAGACATCAATTGAGAGACGTGAGGATTGATTTGGTAAGGATTGACTGAGAGAAATGATCGGTTAAGGTTAATCGATTGAGAAACGCCGTTGTTGAGGGTTTGAAGAACAATAAAAGGTCGGTTTACCTCTTACTTATTAAGAGAACAATAAGACATAAGTGCCTTTGAAAATTTGGAAAAAAACAAACAGTCTGAATGACCTTACCTTTTAACGAATCAGACATAAGAGGCTAATAAGAGTTCTTTTATAAAAAAACAAACAAGTCCCAAGTAATTAACAGATTACAAAATTAATCATGATGCTAAAATAAATTTATGTAATTGTTTTTTTATTAAATATTTTTTTGTGAATATTGAATCATTTTTCCAAGTTATCATAACTGTGGAATGACAAAAATGGACATGTTAGGAACCAAACGAGTGCGATTTGTTGATCCCAAAAAATTCAAATGGTGCATACCTTGGGCTTTTTTGTACCGGTAATGATCGGTTAGGTGGTTACGAGTGAGATGTCAAAATGTGCCCGACTCGGTCCAGGACTGGCATAGAATCGGACGGGTTGGTAGTGGCCCGACGGTTTATGGTTATGGTTTTTACAATATTTTTTTTGTAAAAAGATTCCAAAGGAGACCAGGCTATGGGTTTTTTGGTCGAACAGGGCCGATTATAAAAAGGAAATCAAGGGCCATGATTAATTTGGGCCCAACCCGAGACCGGTTTCTAGCCAACTCTAGTTACGAGGATTGGTCCAAGGGACCGAAACGGTAACTTTTACATATTTTATATTTTTATGATTTCTACACAATCAGTATTTAAATCAGTATCGTTTCAAATAATTAATTTTTTTTAATAAAACTAGTTGTATAAAACAATTATATAATATGATAAAGATATTGGAAAAAGTTCAAAAAAATATGGACCAGATATAACAAGAATTCAATTGGTTACAAATGGTCCCAAATTTTCTATCGGAAAATCAGTTATAATTTAACTTATCAACACTTAATGTAACAGATAACGGTTAATTGATTTCTCTATCTATCTTAAGCATAATGCATAAACTCTTATGTATCGTATACGGCTTAATCTAGAACTTAAGTTTCTACACGTAGACGACAATATGAAATGTTGAACAAAAGAGGGAGACGAAACTTCCGGGAAGTACGATAAAGCATGAAAGGGTGTTGGTTCATGTCTCTGGATTTGATGGCTTATTGTAAAATGTTATTTCCAAATCAGGTGAATTTGAACCAAAATTTCAAATACAGATACTTCACTTATTGACAAATGATTCTAAATCAATACATGAATCTGATTAAAGAGCATATTTATTTTGCATGGGAATCGCTCGGTGTTTCCATCCGTTTTTCAAATCGGGATGTTAAATATACCTCAAACAGAAACCAAATCATCCATAAATGAACTACATTTTGTACCATGCAAGAGACATTACGAAACAAACCTTCTAAATTCAGTAAGGATTCCTTTGTGTGACGATTTGGTCAACCAACCAAATCGAAAATGAATCTCGTGTTTAGGTCAATTTCATTGAGTATCTTAACTTTTGGCATTCTAGATATGATCGTAAAAATAAGGGTTCTAAGAACCCATGATGTGTGAACCCAGTAAAATAAAACTCATCTTCACGATTAACTATTCTGATATTTAAATTGCTATACTGAAATTATTTTGTCAAAACTTTACTTATTATTATTTATTTCATTTTTACTAATTGTTCTTTTGCTGACTTAACAAATACTAATACTTATAAAGGGTTTGGTTCACGTGAGACCAGCCTGTTTTCGTGAGACCATTTTTTTACATTTGAATCTTCGTAGCAAAACGCTGTGAAAGTAAGCAAAAGATCCGAACCTTCACAGCAAAAACACTGTGAATGTTACCTTCACAATGTTTTGCCGTGAGATTTTAAGTGTAAAAAAATGGTCTCACGAAAACTGACTGGTCTTACATGATCCAAAATCTACTTGTATATTTGCATAAACATTGAAGATAAGTGTAAAAATCTAATATATTTATGTTTATAAAATTTTAAAAAATTATTTCCTTCAAAAACTTGGATGCTTAAGCAAATGGTTTTACAAACACCAAACAAGATAAAAAGAATGCCATTTTTAGAAATTCGTTTATTTTTATATTTTATAAATTAATTTTCTTTTCTATTTGTGTCAAAAAATAAATAATTGTTGCACATGTCTATAATATTTAAATAGATTCCCCAAAAGCCGTCCAAATCCAATGAATGTGTGTATTAGCTAAACATAGATCTCAATTTCTTGGCTTTTTGTGTTTTTTTCTTTTTTCTAATTTGTTACTTAAAACTTTTAAATTACAATAGCCAAATAGGTTATCACATATATATATATATATATATATATATGTATGTATATATATGTATTATAAAGTCAGCTTTGGTTGAACACTGTATTTTTTATAAATATTTATCATGAATGCTGTAAAAAGTCCACATTTATTATTTATGATAAATAGAGACAAGTGGAGCACTCTTGATGTTCCTTGGTTCATAATGGAAATGAGGTTCTAACTGAACTTTCCTACCCTTCGTGAGAACATTGTTGACCTTTGGATGTGTGTTTTTCTATCTGGTGGTTCACAAAAACGCAGATCTTCGTCATAAAAAACGCGAACATCCATCTAACTTTATCCACATTCTCTTATTTTCATATATCTTGAATCACTTTCAATTACATGATATTAATTTGAATTAGTAGTTATTGGGCAGCCATCCTACATAGCCGGTTCTTATGCTATCAGGATGGTGGGGCAAACCTCCTCAAGCGTGATGAGTCTCCTTGACAGGGGATGTTTGTGATATGTTACGTAAATCTCACATCATCGATTACAAGGAAGATTCTAGAAAGGCTTGACGGGACATTAGAAATTTAAGTGGGGGAGAATATAACAACTCGTCTCAAATGGATAGAAAATTGTATTTTTGTGTTACTTATAAGCTCTAAGTTGTGGATTACCAATAACTTCTATCAAGTTTATAAGTTGATTTGAAGGTTATTATGCACTGATAGCTACTTTGGTCCATGGGGTGTTTCAATTAAAATGAGTAAACTCATAAATTGACTATAACAAATAAGTGGCTAATATTTGTTTTCTAAGATTTCACATGATATAAGGGTTTTTTTTTTTTTTTTTTTTATTAACTTGGATATCCAATCCGTTATGTGAGCCGACTAATCTCAGGATGACCACCAGCTTTGCAGATAGCCCAGGGTTACCGCATTTGAACCTCCGTGACCACAAGGGGATTTTTATTCCTCCTTGGATTTGAACCTGGGACCTCTAGGTACTTTTAACCTTTGGAGCCAAGCTCAAACCAATTAAGCACCATCCTTGTGGTTAATAATATAAGATTTTCATTAATTAAACAAATTAAAAAAAAACAAGATTTCATTCTTTTAAATTAACACAAGTTTAACATCATTGTATTTTTTTTTTTGAGGTTTTTCAACCATACAATTTCATACGAAATATGATATATATTGTGATTTATTTTTTATTTCATATGTGAAATAACATAATATGATACTTTTTAAAGAAGTACCGTTGTCTTACTTTTAAAATAACAACTGATTTCTCATGTTTTATAAGGCAATGCTATTTCATATCAACAACATAGAGTTCTGGATATTCTACAGTAGCGTTGTTTCATATATAAAACCATACATAATTTAATACGTACCTTACTCTATCATGCGAAGGAAATATACAGTTTACCTAAATACTTACCCGATGAGTGTTTACCGATATGAGTTAACACTATAATTTATTTTGATGCGTAAGATTTTAATTCATCAAAACGTATGGAATGCAACAACCTACCTGGTAAGCGTTTACCTGAGTAAGAGTCGTCATCTTCACTTACCCGGTAAGACTCTTCATCATTCTTATCGCTTTTACCCAGTAAGATTCTTAACCTTTGTCATGTTCATCCGATGAGAAAATTCATCCGGTAAGCACTTACCAAATAAGCGTTTAATAAACGGCCCCCAAGATAGGGGAGGATAAGAATTAGGTGTATATAATGAAGAGACATGAATAACAACCCCATAGATAGAAGGGACAATTTCAGTTTTGTTATCAATGCAGATCAAAAAAATGAGGTCGTTTACCAACATAAACTAGGTAAATTTTCACTGGTAAAAATCATCATCCTTATTTTACTGGACTGGATAAGATTTATAATAAACAAATTGTAAATATATTTTGATTCATGTTGGAGATGAAGTGAAAGGGAGAAGAAGGCGTATGTTCCCGACATGTTGGAATTCGAATTATGTC